GACGAGGGTCACTTTGTGACGATTCGGAACACGGGAGGCTGACAACAATCTGGGAGTCGTTCCAAACCTGCCCGCATATTGACAAGACGATGCCGGCTAGATTCAGGTTCGGGTTTAGGGTATATGGTTTGGGCTTCAGTGTTTATAAGGTCCGGCAATGTCTGTTCATAGAATAATATACGTTCGAACATGAAGAAAGGTCGCAGATCTCACGTTCAGCGCGTGCCTCTTGTGGCTTTCACATTCTCAAGGGTTAGGGTTTAGGGTTTAGGGTTTCGGGTTTAGGGTTTAGGGTTTAGGGTTTAGCACTCCCTTACAGCCGCAGCGACCGAGGACAACGCTCTCCGCTGGCAGCTGCGCTTGCAAGCCAGGTGGCCTTGCGATGTAGACTGCGCAGTCGGGGTCTCTGTTACCCAAAGGATCCATGTACCTGTATAGTACATACTTGGGCCCTAAAGCTACTATATAGGAACCCCTTTAAGGCGCAAGTATATACTATATAGGTACATGGACCCTTAGGGCTAAGGCTATATCCCCCTTGGGCACATTTTTTCCATTTTTGTTTACATAAATCTCAAGAGGATAGTGAAAACATTTTTTGTCAAGGTTAAAAGGGGAGTATAGGAATATGTTGCTGAAGGTTGGGGCCGGGGGGAGGGGGGGGTATATGAATACACGAATGTAACTATGAGCCCCTAAACCCTCAACAGAAAGAACGGAGAAGTATTGTGCTGAATTGGGCCCACTTGCACTCCAGCATTGAAGGCATGTGACGCCAAGCCATCGTTTGAACTGGCAAGCTTGCCAGGTGAATCTGAAGCCACACAAACCTTCAGGTTCAGGGTTGGGGGTTAAAGTTCCCTAAACCCTAAACCCTAAACCCTAAACCCTAAACCCTAAACCCTAAACCCTAAACCCTAAACCCTAAACCCTAAACCCTAAACCCTAAACCCTAAACCCTAAACCCTAACCTAAACCCTAAACCCTAAACCCTAAACCCTAAACCCTAAACCCTAAACCCTAAACCCTAAACCCTAAACCCTAAACCCTAAACCCTAAACCCTAAACCCTAAACCCTACCAACAGACTCAAGCTTCTGAGCCCGAAGACCATACTGTGTTGTGTTTGGTGATACGGGCCGGCAACGCCAGAACCCCAGAACACACGGGACCTTAGAACCCCTGGAACCCTAGAGCCCTAAGCCCTAACCCGAAAACCCGAAAACCCGCAACCCTAAATACTGTCGGGTTCAGGGTTGAGCCTTGCATCCCGCGAACACTCAATCTCATTGCCAGACCACAATGACAAAATCATCCCTGACCTAATCCCCTGCAATCCCCAAGCTCTAGGTTAGGGTATTTCGGGTTTGGGGTTTAGGGTTTAGGGTTGAACCGTCTCCCAAGCCCTAAACCCTCGCCTACACCCTGCAAGGAGGTGAAAGCCACGGGTTCTATGAGGTCAGGGTTTAGGGTTGGGGTTTAGGGTTCAGGGTTCAGGGTTTAGGGTCCAGGGTTTAGGGTTTAGGGTCTAGAGTTTTGCTGACACTTCTCTGCTGCTCCCTGGTACTGAGTATGGGCGTCGGGCCCATGGTAGCCTAGATGCCAGATTCTTGAGCCCCCCAACACCCGAATGTCAGGACCCCCCCCCCCCCCCCAGCTTACCCGCAAAGCCCAAGCACCCCAGACCCCAAGACCTTAAAAACCAAACAACAACTAATAGACCCCAAACCCTAAACCCCAAACCCCAAACCTAAACCCCAAACCCCAAACCCTAAACCCGAAACACTAAACCCCAAACTCCAACCATCGGAGCCCAAGGGAGCTCGCGCGGCCCTACTCACTGGAGCGGCTGAGCCAGCGCTTGGCTCTCATCCTCACTGCCGGAATGGAGAGACGGCAGAAAAAATCATTTAGGGTTTTAGGGTTTTAGGGTTTTAGGGTTTTAGGGTTTAGGGCTCTAGGGTTGTAGGGTTTAGGGTTTAAGGTTTTAGGGGTTTAGGGTTTAGGGCTTCGGGCTGAGAGGCGGCAGAAACAAAACGGTGTTTCGGGATGTAGGGTTTAGGGTTTAGGGCTTCGCGCTGAGAGACGGCAGAACAAAAACTGTGTGTCGGGTTTAGGGTTGAGGGGCTTTGGGTGTAGGGTTTAGGGCTTACGTTTTTTTTCTGCTGGGTTTTTAGAGGATCTTGTTTAGGAACGCTTTTTGGAATGTTTTCAGGGCCATCCTAGGGTTTAGGAGTTGGGGGGAGGGGGAAGTTTAGAGGGTTTAGGGTTTAGGGTTTAGGGTTTAGGGTTTAGGGTTTAGGGTTTAGGGTTGCAGGTTTTGGGTTTTTTGTGGGTTTACGGCTTTTACCCGGAGATCGACTCAGGAGGGCCAAGTTCAGTTACATCGTGGGCCTCTAGGGCTTCTAGGGTTTAGGGCTCAGGGCTTAGGGCTTCGGGTTTGGGGCGTAGGGCTTAGGGCCTCTAGGGCCTCTAGGGCCTCTGGGGCCTCTAGGGCCTCTAGGGCCTCTAGGGCCTCTAAGGCCTCTAGGGCCTCTAGGGCCTCTAGGGCCTCTAGGGCCTCTAGGGCCTCTAGGGCCTCTAGGGCCTCTAGGGCCTCTAGGGCCTCTAGGGCCTCTAGGGCCTCTAGGGCCTAGGCCTTAGGCCTTAGGCCTTAGGGCCTTAGGCCTTAGGCCTTAGGCATCCCAAGCCCTAAGCGGATGAAGGGTTTCTGAAGAGTCATCTTGCCAGCTATCCCACAGGGGGGTTGAGCGCTTTTTGACCCTGGACCCTAAGCTCCGTTAGACTGGTTTTAATTTTCGGTTTAGGGGTTTAGGGTTTTTTTTTCGGTTTAGGGTTCAGGGTTTAGGGTTTCGGGTGTCATTAGGGTTTAGGGTTTGGGGTTAGGGCTTAGGGCTTAGGGTTTAGGGTTTAGGGTTTAGGGTTTAGGGTTTAGGGTTTAGATTTCAGAGTTCCAGGGTTTAGGGCGTATAAGGCTCAGGGCTCACGGCTCAGAATTTTGGGGGCTCAGGGGAGAGTTTGTGCTTCAGGGATGTAGGAATGAAGGGTTTTTGGTTTAGGGTTTAGGGTTTAGGGTTTAGGGTTTAGGGTTTAGGGTTTAGGTTTTAGGGTTTAGGGTTTAGGGTTTAGGGTTTAGGGTTTAGGGTTTAGGGTTTAGGGTTTAGGGTTTAGGGTTTAGGGATCCCGCAGAGGGGATGCCAAGCTCGGCCCTCCATTTCTTTCGGCTCCCGGCAGGCTTGAGACCATGATAGAATAGGGCTTCGTATGAACCCTAACCCTCCCACCCTACAGCCCCAAGACCCCAAGCCCTAAGGAATAGAAAAGCCGAAGATAGCCCCAAACCCTAACCCCTAAACCAAGGTTTAGGGTTTAGGGTTTAGGGTTTAGGGTTTAAGGTTTGGGGTTAAGGGTTTAGGGTTCCAAACCCCCGTAGAATGACGCGGCCTGAAATTTGCTTCGCCTCTCCATGCTGCTGCTTCGGGGTCTGTAAACCCTAAGCTCCTCATCCGCGCTAAACCCAAAACCTTTGAACCCTAAAACCCTAAACCCTTAAACCCTGAACCCCAAACCCCAAAACCCCGAAACCTAAACCCTAAACCCTAAAACCCTAAACCTCAAACCCTAAGCCCTAAACCCCTAAAACCCCAAACCCTAAAAACAAAAAAACCTATACCCCAGACACTAAACCCCAATCCCCAAAACCCTAAACCCCCAAAACCCCAAACCCTAAAACCCTGAACCCCAAACCCTAAACCGTAAAACCAAGAAATCCTAAAACCGATACATCCAAAAAAACAAAACTAAGAAGCCCTAAAACCAAAAACCCTAAAAGAAAAAAACAACCAAAGGACAAACAAAAAAACCTAAAACCAAAAAACCCTTAAACCCTAAACCCTAAACCCTAAACCCTTAACCCTTAACCCTAAACCCTAACACGAAGAAATCCTCGCCATGATCGAGCTCCAAACATCTCCGGACTCGGTGCCCAGCTCGCAGCGCGCGAGCGAAGTCGCCACGCCGCGCAGTCTGGAGTTTAGGGTTTAGGGTTTAGGGGTTTTTTAGGGTAACCCTAAACCCTAAACCCTAAACCCTAAACCCTAAACCCTAAACCCTAAACCCTAAACCCTAAACCCTAAATTTAAACCCTAAACCCTGAGGGGCTTCCCAGGCTTCGTTGGGGAGGCAAGAGGTCCGCAGGCCACTCCAATGCTTGAAGGCTCAGGATCGTTGTGACGGTCATCTGCGAGAGGAGGGAACGGCGCGAGGGTTTAGGGTTTAGGGTTTAGGGTTTGGGGTTTAGGGTTTAGGGTTTAGGGTTTAGGGTTCCGGCTTTAGGGTTTAAGGGGGGGTCGGGGGGATGAGCCAGAAGCAGTGTAAGGTCTTAAGCCTCCAAGCCCCCTGAACCCTAAACCCCGAACTCCTAAACTTTTTTTAGGCCCCAAACCCTAAACCCCAAACCCGAAACCTCAGATTCCAAGCCCTAAATCCTAAACCCTCAACGCCAAAACCCTAAACCCTAAACCCTAGACCCTGTCCCCAGACTTGTGAACTGGGCGTAGCTTTGAAGGTCTCAGCCTTGGTGCCTTGGTATCGGAAAGTCAGCAGCGGTAGCGATATCAGGGCCAAAGACTAGTAGGGTCTAGGGTTTAGGGTTTAGGGTTTAGGGTTTAGGGTTTAGGGTTTAGGGTTTAGGGTTAGGGTTTAGGGTTTAGGGTTTAGGGTTTAGGGTTTAGGGTTTAGGGTTTAGGGTTTAGGGTTTAGGGTTTAGGGTTTAGGGTTTAGAGTCTCGGGCTTAAGGCTTAGGAGTTCAGGGTCTGGGGTATCGGAGCCTGCGGACTGCCTGAAGCCATGAGGGCCATGTTTGGCTTGGTGGCACTGGCCTTTCCTTCATCGGCTGAGCCCAACGTGATGAATAAGGGGGGCATACCATACCAGATAAGCAATCCACCAGGGTCGTCCGAACACTGGAAGGGCACGCCCGGAAACTATTCCGTCGATTTCATGCACAATGTCAAGGGCAAGGTTGAGCACTTTGACGTCTACGGCGAAGTCCGCACGAGGTATTCCCAGGTCTACTGGACACGAAATGCACCGATCAACCTGCCGAAGGATCTGGTGGATCGTTTTGACGGCAAGGTGGGTAGTTTTCCAAATTAGGGTCCCTTTTTGGCCTCCCCTTCTAAAGCTAATTTAGGAAACTACCCAGGTGATGGCCATCACGGGATATGAAGTGGATCAGGTCACACACGATGGACCTCAGCTGGGAAGCACGACGGTCGACGACATTCTTGGCGGTTTTTCTTGCTATCCTGACTGCTCCGAAGGTGACCGGTCCATTCCTAGCTACCACGCCTACAACCACCACTACTTCTCTTGGCTGGTCGGAAAAGATGCTCAAGTCTATGACCGGGAGCAGCCTGTCCACATCCCCAATCCCACCTCGACTGGAGTAAGGGATCTTCCCCATGGCCACGACTATCCGACGAACATTGTCTTCAAGGATCATGGGTTTCCCTACTAACCCCCCCCCCCCCTAGGTTACCCCCTGAAAGAACCTCAATCAGGCTTAAAAAGCCCTAAATAGCCTGAATTATAGGCAAAACCTGGGGTCTGAGTAGGGGAACCCTAAACCCTAAGCCCTAAGCCCTAAGCCCTAAACCCTAAACCCTAAACCCTAAACCCTAAACCCATGAAAGGAGAACCCGGGCGGTGAGTTCCGGAAGAGCTTCCACGGCTACCCCAGCGGCTATGCCCAGCTGGTCCACTCCCCGAAACCTTTGTCATAGTTGGGTAACATTTTACATTTTTAAGGGTACTTAAACCCAATAAACCCAGAGGGTCCATTTGTATTTCTATTCTGGAATTAGGTACCCAAAAGCCATACTGTAGGGTTTTGGGGTACCTAATTCCATAATAGTACTACAAATGGACCCTCTGGGTAAGAATAAAACTATCCCAACCATGACCTAGGAAAACCTGGGTGGTCGAGCCCATGCAGATTGACACCCACCACCGACACTTCGGCATCAACAGCCAGGAGGGCTACAGAGAGTGGTTCCTTCCGAAGAGGAGCCCAGTCCAAAAGCAACATAAGCCTCACATTGTTACACCCTGTAAACCCTATAATGAACCACTATACTGAGTAGTAGAGCCTTAGTTTTACACCCTATTAAACCCTTTCATTAACCACTATATACCGAGTAGTAGAGTACAGTAGGTAGCCTTCAACCTTCTTGGGGCATTGTAAGCCCGAATTTTCTGAACTTTTAGTCTTCGGTGCCCATCTTCTACTAGAAGTATGAACCCTATCAACCCTAAAGCCGCCCCTGGCCCTAAACCCTAAAGCCCCTAAACCCCCTAAACCCTAAGCCCTAAACCCTAAGCCCTTTGGCGGGCGCTGGTTGATCCCTGAGCGCAATCCCAGGCGGCGACAACCTCAAATCCTAGAAACCTTAAACCCTAAACCCAAACATCTTATCTGAAACCCAAAGCTTATGAACCCTAAACCCTACAACCTCAAACCCTAAAACCTATAAACCCCAAACCTCGGACCTCAAACCCTCAACCCTACAAACCCTAAACCCCAAACCTTCAACCCTAACTCCCATAAACCCTAAACCTCAAACCTTAGTCTCGCAACCTGCTACTGTAAACCCTGAACCTTTTCTAAACCCTAAGCCCTCGAAAGGAGCCAAGGCCAAGAGACGGACCGAAATGGCGGCTTGAGCCCTCTGATTGAGTGCCCCTGCAGCGACCGTATCGCGCTGGAGACGGTCACTTGGTAGGCACCTTGGGATGTCTCTGTATTCTCCCTTATATGGGTTTGAGGGTTCAGGGTTTAGGGTTTTGTAGGGTTTAGGGTTTAGGATTTAGGGTTTAGGGTTTAGGGTTTAGGGTGGATCCTGCTTGGGAATGTTTGTCAAAGTGTTTTAAGCGCCATCCTAGGTCAGTACCCCCACGGTGCGGTCGCAGGACACTGGTGAAGTGGAGGGAACAAGGGTTTGGTTCAGTGCTTAGGGTTTAGGGTTTAGGGTTTAGGGTTTAGGGTTTAGGGTTTAGGGTTTAGGGCTTAGGGCTTAGGGTTTAGGGTTTAGGGTTTAGGGTCTGCGCAGGACACCTGTCAGGCCCCCATTACCACGGCCTCGGCGTGCCTTGCGGAGGTGAAGCGCATCGCCCCAGTGGGCCGCTCTTCCACAATCGATGACCCGAGCCTGCCATCAGGCTGCCTGCCCCTAAACCCTAAACCCTAAACCCTAAACCCTAAACCCTAAACCCTAAACCCTAAACCCTAAACCCTAAACCCTAAACTCACTTAAAAAGGGTCCATGTCGGGCCCTAATTCCCTCATTCCTTGCCACCAGGCTGCTCGCTGAAGCCCTTGGGAGATAGCTACGAGGCCCCCGGGAAGCACCATTCCCAGGGTTTAGGGTTTAGGGTTCAGGGTTTAGGGCTTAGGGCTTAGGGCTTAGGTTGTTGTGCTACAGTAGAGGGTACTGTGCTTGAGTACCTGGAGTGTACTTAAAACTCGGAGTACGTACAGGCAATGTGCTTAAGTACCTGGAAATGTACTTAAAAAAGTCAGCGCACGCAAACGACAGGTCGCCCCCCAAAATTGTTCCAGAGCACGAGGCAATTTTCAACGAAGCGCACTCGACGAAGACCTGCGAGCCGCCCCGGCCGATGCAGCTGCTTACTGTAGGTTAGTACGGAATAAGGGCAATGAGGTACCCTATATATTCCCTTAAAGGGTATATATAGGGCATAATCCCTTAAAGGGTATATATAGGGCATAATCCCTTAAGGGTATTTCTAGGGCATAATCCCTTAAAGGGTATATATAGGGCATAATCCCTTTAAAGGGTATATATAGGGCCCTGATTCCCTCAACAGTGAGGTTGGCCGGCAAGGTGCAGCTGGGGCAGCTGACCAACCTCTCGCTCCGGAGTGAGAGTCTGAATGTGACCATTACAATCTCCGGCCCGGATGGCTACTGGCTTCTTAGCAGCTGAATGAGTACACTTTACACTTTTTTTTTTTTTTGGGGGGGGGGGGGGGGTGGTGGGGGGGGGGGGGGGGGGGGTGGGGTAATAGAATCCCCTATAGAACTGAACGTTTACACCTTTTTTGGGTGCTTATGAACTCAGCAACTAAGGTTTGGTGTAGGCTTCAATGCTCAGGCTATGAGCTCCCGGCCCTATGCCCTGATTGTTGAAGCCGGGGGTAGGGTCTCCGAGCGCAAGCTCGAGAACCATGGACCAGGACATCAATTGAAGGCTTCAATAACTGTGTTGTCTTCCACGGTCACAGGCGGCATCCGCACGCTCACTCTGACGCGACCCTTACAGGGCCTCGATGCGGATCACTACACCTTTCCAAGGGAACCGGGCCAGATCGATGTCATCACAGCCGTTGGCAGCACGCCAACCTTGTCTTACCACAAGGCACACACGGGCGGGAAGATCATGCTGTTGCCTGAGAATGAGCAAGCGTGTGTCTGCCAGCCAACAGAGACGCATTTCCTCAACTACATGAACAAGGATCGCAATCAGTTCGAGGGCTATGCGTGTGCAGACGAGCCACGGTCTGACATGCTCAGGCACGGCGACGGCACAGGCCGCAACGTCTCCAACGCTGCCTGCCACCCTCACACATACCATGGGGGGCTGCAGTGTTGCAAAAATCAGTATTTCTTGACTGACCTGGATCAGGAGGACCTTATTCCAAACGAGACAGACATCTATTTTCTCAAGTGGCGGTACTACTTCCAGGAGTATCTCCCGCCATCTGACAAGGACTTTCCTCGCCAACAGTTGAACTGTAAACTTTTTGGGTTTCCTTATTGAGTAGGAATACTAAAGTTTAGCCTCCTAAACCCTAAACCCTGAACCCTAAAACCTAAACCCAAACACAAATTGGAGAAGTAAGAGGAGGCTGCTTCTCACAGGCATCTGCACCACTGGGTCTTTCTCATTGATGAGGCAATTAACGACTACGAGGAGGTCTTTTGTCTGCGCGTTAGGGTTTAGGGTTCAGGGCTTAGGGTTTAGGGCTTAGGGCTTAGGGTTTACGTAGGGTTTAGGGTTTAGGGTTTAGGGTCTTCTTCTGTCTGTTTCATGTACGTACGCTGACAAGCAAATATGTGCTTCCGAGATTTTCTTCGTTGGTTGAGCAGGTTGGCGCAGCAAGTCTTTCATTGCACCACATTTCAAGTACAATCACAGACCCAGACCTTGTTTCCTCCCAGGGGTGGTGGTGCAGCCTGGTTTGCTAACCCTAAACCCTAAATTTAAGAGCCTCCGGCTCAAGCCGCCGACCCCGCTGGAGCATAGTTGAGAGGTCTAAACCCGCTCGCACGAAGATCATCCCAGCCTGCTCGGCAGAGTTCTGTGAAACGTTTGGGGGGGGGTAGGGGGTAGCACAAGGACAAGCTCCAAAAAGACAGGTGGGGGGGGTGGGGGGGCAGGGGGGTCGGGGGGGGGTGGGGTGGGGGCCGGAATGGGGGGGGGGGGGGGGTGGGGGGGGGGGGTGGGGGGGGGGCCGAAAACGCTGATTTTGCTGAGGGCGCCCCTACCCCCCTGTGCTGAACCCTGTTTACGCTGTGCGGGTGGCGCGGTCCTCCACGAAAAAATTGTGCACCGACCCCCCCTGCCCCCCCCCCCCTCAAACCCATCCAACACGCCGCGGGGGTCGGCGGACCCTAAACCCTAAACCCTAAACCCTAAACCCTAAACCCTAAACCCTAAACCCTAAACCCTAAACCCTAAACCCTGCTGGCTAAGGATAACGCACGCTATGGCGCGCAAAGCGTTGGAAGGATTACTGCTCACGTGACTGGCAAAGAAATTGGTCTCGAAGACGTGCCAGTTGCATACAGCACAATTACCCCCTTGGTCCCTTGGTCATCACTCAGTGGTTTCATCTTTTTTGCCTTCTATGGAAGTGGGTACCAAAGAACATCCAAAGAACCATACGAAATGGGGTTGGGGGGGGGTACGTAATTCCATAATGGTACTACAGATGTTCCTTTGGCAATTTGGTCAGCAATCACCTTAATAATCTTGAAAAACAGTTGCTGTGGGTTCGCGTTGCGTAGTTGCAGGGCCAGGAGAAGGTGAAGCTGCAGACCATAGAAGTATTCTGCCAGTCCGGGACTACATGGCTTCACGGTTTTTTCGAAACAGCTGAAGCAGACATGTAGCCACTGCTATGTATGCTCTAAGCCCTAAACCCACTAAGCCCTGAACCCTTAAGCCATAAGCCCTAAACCCTTAAGCCCTAAGCCATAAGCCCTAAGCCCTAAGTCCTAAGCCCTAAGCCCTAAGGTCATGACACCCCACTGTCATGCTCCCAGCTGCCTACGAGAAGAGCTCTGGAATGCAGACACCGGGGAAACTTTGTCGTAGTTGGGTAACATTTTACATTTTTAAGGGTACTTAAACCCAATAAGGAATATAATGTTAAAATTATAATACTATCCCAACCATGAACTAGGAAATCATTTGCAACGTCACCGCTCGCTACGGGAGCACAGCATATGGCTCCCTCAGCCGCGTCTTCAACGAGGCGCGCTGCCTCGCGCTCACACCAGGGGTGAGGGTTTAGGGTTTAGGGTTTAGGGTTTGGGGTTTAGGGTTTAGGGTTTAGGGTTTAGGGTTTAGGGTTTAGGGTTTAGGGTTTGGGGTTTAGGGTTTGGGGTTTAGGGTTTGGGGTTTGGGGTTTGGGGTTTGAGGTTTAGGGTTTAGGGTTTGGGGTTTGGGGTTTGGGGTTTGGGGTTTGGGATTTGGGGTTTGGGGTTTGGGGTTTGGGGTCTAGTCTCAAGTGGTAGTGATCCTCTACTTCATGCGTCATAGCAAAGCGACTAACGATATCGATAGCTCATCGCTGAAATCTTCAATGGTCTATCACAGCAGCAATAACAAGTTCCCTTTTCATAAAGCAGCAAGATCATTCATGCAAGAACCGCATGGTGGTTTCGGGTTTAGGTTTAGGGTTTAAGGTGTAGGGGTTTAGGGGTTTACGGGTTTAGAGGTTTAGGGTTTAGGGTTTAGGGTTTAGGAGTTCCTTGCGAGGCGAACTACATCGCACTGCCTCCCTGCATCTTCGGCCATCAGCCTGGCCTTCAGCGGCCATTCACGCTGACGCCCGCCACGAGGCTTCGGGCGGTGAAGTATTTCAACAACACCTTCAGGCACCCCCGGACACGCGGCTTTGGGTTTAGGATTTAGGGTTTGGGGTTTGGGGTTTAGGGTTGGGGTTTAGGGTTTAGGGTTTAGGGTTTTGGGTTTTGGGTTTGGGGTTTAGGGTTTAGGGTTTGGGGTTTGGGGTTTAGGCTGATGAAAGTATTTCAACAACGCCTGGAGGCACCTTGGGCAGATGGCACAGTGGACAGGTCTGATGGTTTGTGATGCAGACCCCATCGCCGAGGATTATGTGCACGTGTGAGCAGTGGCACATCTTCTTAGTAGCTGAGTGAGTACACTTTGCACTTTTTGGAGTACTATAATCACTATAATCCCTCATAGAACTGAAAGTGTACACTTGTTTTTTTTGGGGGGAGGGGCTTATGTACTCAGCAACTAAGTCTTAAAGGTAAAGACTTCGAAGAAGAGGCGAAGAAGCAGCGCAGTAAGGTTCTGTCATGGGTTTCCCTACTACCCCCTCTAGACTACCCTCCCCCCCCAGCCCCTGAAATAAACCTAGTTCGGCTTAATTGTCCCTAAATACCCTTAAGTATGGGGGCAACCTAGGGGTAGTGTAGGGGGGAGTAGTAGGGGAGCCCGTGGTTCTGTTATTAAGGCCCCTGATTGGGGGGCCACCTCGGTGTCTGCAGGACTCTCCAAGGTAAAGTCCCGTAGATAGCGCTTTGAGGACACAGGCAACGCAAGTCAGAAAATGTCGCAAAGGAGCACAACACCACAAGCTCCTGCCAACTATATACCCCCCCCCAAATGAATATCAAGATAAAAGATGTAAATCTAAGAAAAAGAAAAATATATATGCACATATCATATAGTGCGGCTTAATTAAGGGGCCATGAAAGCGATAGAGCACCACTCCTTTCCAAGAGGTTTAGCTCATGTGGCATGCTCATCCATAGTCTTACCCCTGGTTTAGGGTTTAGGGTTTAGGGCCTTCGTAGCCCCACAGTCAGTCAGCTTTTCACCGAGATCTGGTGGAACTAGCGGAGGACTTCACCCTAGAGGCCACATCGCCCAAACCCGAAACCCATCCTGACCCCTTGAACTCTTTAAAACCCTAAACTCGAACCACCCGAAAGACCTCCCCCACTCCACGTGCCCAAACCGAAAGTTTCCTGAACCCGCTGAACCATAAAGTCTAACCACCCACAAGAGCCCCCCCCCCCCCCCCCCCCAAACCCTAAACCCTAAACCCTAAACCCTAAACCCTAAACCCTAGACCCTAGACCCTAGACCCTAGACCCTAGACCCTAGACCCTAGACCCTAGACCCTAGACCCTAAACCCTAAACCCTAAACCCTACACCAGACCATGACCAGAGGTCGTCGTTCCTTTCGGCCCGCTCGTCGGCCTCGCAAGCAGATGACACGGAGGACCTCCAGGAACCTTCCGCCGCATCTTTTCAGGCTTTAGGGTTTAGGGTTTAAGGTTTAGGGTTTAGGGCTTAGGGTTTGGGGTTTAGGGTTTAGGGTTTAAGGTTTAGGGCTTAGGGTTTGGGGTTCAGGGTTTAAGGTTTAGGGTTTAGGGTTTGGGGTATGTCCGGTGTTTGAAGAACTTCAGGGTTTAGGTTTTCGGGGTTCAGGGAGTTCCGGGCTTCAGGCATTTTTTCGGGCGTAGGGGATTTCTTTTCGGGTTTAGGGAACCCTAAACCCTAAACCCTAAACCCTAAACCCTAAACCCTAAACCCTAAACCCTAAACCCTAAACCCTAAACCGGGCTTCGTACCCAGCCCTAAGTCCTTGCTCCCCAAAACAGCATACCGGAAGTGTACCCCTAAGTCGGCCTGACACCCCCCCCCCCCCCCCCAATACCCTACAGCAGAGTACTGGCACCTGTCTACCTAAACCCTAAAAACCCCACCATCAGCAACCCCAAGCCCTAAACCCGAAACCCTAAACCCTAAACCCTATAACCCTAAACCCTAAACCCTAAACCCTAAACCCAAAACCCAAAACCCAAAACCCTAAACCCTAAACCCTAATTAAACCCTAAACCCTAACCTGGCTTCCAGCAACCGCAACTGAAGGCCATGCAGCACAGCATGAGCCGCGGCATCCGCCGCAGGCTCAGCCGAGCTTCACGGAGCGCCTAGTTGCTTTGGGGTTTAGGGTTTAGGGTTCAGGGTTTAGGGTTCAGGGTTCAGGGTTTAGGGTTTAGGGTTTAGGGTTTAGGGTTCAGGGTTGAGGGTTTAGGGTTTAGGGTTGAGGGTTTAGGGTTGAGGGTTTAGGGTTTAGGGCTTCGGGTTTAGGGTTCAGGGTTCAGGGTTTAGGGTTTAGGGTTTAGGGTTTAGGGTAGTTTCATGGGCCCTGTTAAGGGCCCCTTACCCTCTTTAAAGGGTTCTGGCCCCTTAATTTGTATGGGGCATATAAGGGGTGTATGCGAGGGGTCCCCTCTCAAGGGCCCCTACTAAGGGACCATGTAGCTACCCTAAACCCTAAACCCTAAACCCTAAACCCTAAACCCTAAACCCTAAACCCTCAACCCAGAAGGGGTTTTACGCAGTCCGCTGTCCTTTCTGAGGTCGCGAGTACTGCCTGGCAGGTGGGGGGGGGGGGGGGGGGGGGGGGGGGGGGGGGGGGGGGGGTTTTCCCTAACCTTGGGAACCCAATAAACCCTCAAAGGGGTTATGGTTCACATACTGCAGCAGACATGTTCGTAAGGGGTTCATCTGCTCTTAAAGGAAGTTCTGTAAGTCTTATGTCTTGTGAACTTGAGCTGTCCCAACTCTGGCATTCACGGCGTTTTTGATCTGAGACCTAAGCCCTGTAAAGCCCTGTAATAATCCCGGAGCCATAAAGCCGCAAGAAATCCCGAAATCTGTGAGAAGCCCCCCTTAAGCCCAAGTCGCCACAAACTCCCTGTACCCTAAAACCCCTGAAGCCACCCTAAACCCGAAACCCTAAACTCTTCACCCTAAACCCTAAACCTGAACCCTAAACCCTCTTGCCTTTTCCCTTCCCCCGCCCTTCTCATGCAGCGCCGGGCCCTGCTGCCACTTATCAACGGGCCTCGGATTCCCCTAGAACCCTATACCCTCGAACCCTTAGCCCTTGTGAGGTCTCAAGGTTTGGGGCTTAGGCTGTTGTTGGTTCGGGGTGGCTTTGGGTTTAGGCAGTGCGGCGGTTGCGGTTTTGGAGCTCAGGGCTAATGCCCACGGTGCCAGTCACACCATGCCTGCTTCTCGATGGCTTGGACGTGCGCTTTCTCGGTTTCACGAGGCACCGTGGGCCAACCCGCGGTCGTGGCATGATGGCGGCCAGCACTAATAGGCCCAGGATCCAAAAAGGCATCATCCTTTCGCTGCCTACGTTAGAAGGAACGAGCCAATGCTCCAGTCTAAGATGGAGTACCGCGATTTGTTTTCAGCGCTGAACTTCGACTCCGACGATGCAGCTCTCGCAGTCAATTCAGTGTTTGTTGAGTTCACTCATGAATGTACTTACTGGTTCAAAACCCAACTTTTAAACTTTTGGGCTTCTTATAAGGTAGTTTCTTCTGAAAGTTTCAACTTTTATTCCCTTGGGTTTCGGGCCAGGAAGTGTATCAGAACACATGTCAGCTGCGAAGCCCAGGAGGGGTCGGTGAGCCAGAGAAGTTGAAGGGAAGCTCATGCTTTTGCCACAGGGACTTGCGCGCCACCCCCCCCCCCCAAAAGGTTTAGGGTTTAGGGTTTCCTTCCCCCAAAACCTGTGAACCCTTACCCGAAGGAGCCCATGTGCCTGCATAGTATATAAACCCCTAAACCCTAGACCCCAAAACCTGTGAACCCTTGAAGGATTTTCATGTAGGAATGTAGTCCTAAACCCTGAAGCTTCTTTCTAGGAGCCCCTTTGAGGGTCAAGTACAAACTTTACAAGGTAGATGGATCCTTGTGGCCCCAAACATCAGAGTAACCCGAAACCCCGCAACTCCAAGATTTGAAGGGCTCCTTAAACCCTTAACCCTAGACCCTGGACCCTAAACCCTAAACCCTAAACCCTAAACCCTAAACCCTAAACCCTAAACCCTAAAACCCTAAGCCTAAACCCTAAACCATAGGTTTGCAGGTTCGGGAGGGGGGGGGGGGGGTGGGGGGCAAGGGATTAATCAAGTGGGCAAATGGGTTGCGCGCACCGGAGCCTGTTGAAATCCTACTAGTTGCTAGGTTTAGGGTTTAGGGTTTAGTGTTTAGGGTTTAGGGTTTAGGGTTTAGGGTTTAGGGTTTAGGGTTTAGGGTTTAGGGCTTACGGCAGAACCACCCAAAACATGAAGGACACTAGTCCCTATATTGCCCCTCAGAAGGGCATTTCGATTTTTCTGAGGGGAGGGGCTCGGAAGCAAAGAGGAGAATCTCGTATCCGACCCTAAGGGTCCATGTACCTTATTATTATATACTTAGACCCAAAAGTCCTTATATAGGAAGTACTTTAAGGCCCAAGTATTCCATAATTAGGTACATGGACCCTTAGGGCGAACGACTCTGAGGGTCATTCAAGGTTTGAGTCGCACCCGAAGCCATCAAAATCTTACCATTTAAATCCAGAGGCTCCCCCCTAACCCTGGACCCCAAACCTTTTTATGAAGCCTGAACCCCAAACCTTAAAAGGAGACCTGAACCCACCCTGATGTGATTCCCAGGAGTTTTGCTTAAAACCTTAAAACATCTTTTCGAGCCAAACCACCTAGCCAATCACAAGCTGCAAAGAAGGGCACGTAAGACTAGCTCAAGTAGCCTTAGTGCTTCGACTGTCCCGAGTCCATACCCTAAACCCCAAGCCCCAAAACCGTAAGGCCCAAACCCTGAACCCCCTGAACCCCTAAACCCTGAACCCCTAAACCCCCTAAACTCCCCCTGAACCCCTTAAACCCCTAAACTCCCTTAAACGCCCCTAAACTCCCCTAAACCCCCTACACTCCCCCTAAGCCCCTAAACTCTCCTAAACTCCCCGAAAATCCCCTAAACTCCCCTAAGCCCCCAACCTCCGCTAAACCCCCAAACTCCCCAAAGGCCCTAAACCCCTAACTCCCTAAACCCCCTAAACCCCCTAAACTCCCCTAAGCTCCCCTAAAACCCTTATCCCCCCTAAACTCCCCTAAACTCCCCTAAACTCCCCTGGACCCCCTAAACGCCCTAAACCCCCTAAACCCTATCCCCTAAACCCTAAACCCCAACTTCCAAACCGCACACCCTACCCCCCAAACTCCCATAAACCCTAAACCCTAAACCCTAAACCCTAAACCCTAAACCCTAAACCCTAAACCCTA